ATGAAATTATTTGTGATCTGAAATATAAGAATAACTTTCTTGCTATTCCTATTTTTAATAACCATAAAGATGAAAGTCGTCTTGATTTACGTTCGTCAACAACACTCGAATGTATTTGGTCAGTTCGAATTCATGGACGTTGTCGTTGTTGTTCAATTAATATTGATCAATGGTTAGTAATGGATTATGATGAACATCGATTCTTTCATATTTCGGCTAATGGAAAACTATTAAAATCGGATAAATACGATCAACATCAACGAATTGAAGATATTCTTCAATGGGGTGAAAATGATATGGTCGTCTTAACCAAAAATAGTGTTAATTTGCATAAACTTTAATTTAAAAAAAATCAATTCGAACAAATAGACTTTCCTGGATTAAAGATAGAGTTTTTTGTATATCTATATACGTAAATCTATATCTGATAAGTGAATGATTGTCATAGTCTTAATATCAATCGTTAGTTATTATTAATAAGAATGAAATGAAAGATCGAAGGACAATGAAAAAATGACATCTTTTGAATAAAAGTTCGTCTAAGACATCGATCTAATGAGTAATAACAACAAGTTGTTGAGGTTCAAGAAAGATTTTCTAAATTGATACGAAAGGCAGAAATATCCTTGCATTTTACATGAAATAATACATAGAATATGATCAAAGAGGTTCGAGAATATAATGTTCGAATAAATGCAACGAATTAATAATATATCACCGTTGAACATATTTGATCTAATAGTATAAAACTTGAAAATTGAATTGATCACTTTATTATTTAAATATTTGTTTAGTTAATCAAATAGAAACAACGGTCACATGATAAGAAATCGCATCTAAATCATCGTTCCAGAATAAACATGGATATACGTACACATTGTATTCTTTAGATAGAATCAGATAATAGAAATAAAGCAACTAAAAAAAAAAGACAGATAGAATATCGATCGAGCGAATGAAGTTGAAAGAAATAAAAAGAGAATTAAGGTCAAATGTATCTTGAAGATATAAAGCATTCATAAAAACAAACTTTTTCACTACGAAATCATCATTTCCTTAATAATCTTATTATTTTACTTGTATATGACGATTATTGTTGTTGTAAATGTAAATTCATCGTTCATTTGATGTAATTGAGTTTATTTTACAATGTACGTAATTCTTTTTCGAAAGTTGTAATACTATTTCCATAGTGAGACTATTAGATAAGACAATCGTTTTTTTTAAACTTGTTTTGTGATACAAGATACTTGTTCACGTCATAGTATTCAACACAAATCAGAATTTTAGTTGAAAAGAAAATAAGTAAATGTTACATAGAGAGTTGTTTAGTATATTAATACTAAGAATAATCACTTATACTAGACAAAGAAGCATGATTTTTTTTTCAAATTAGCAATATAGATCATATGTACGTAACTAAGATACTCTTAATCGTAAATATTGTTGAATTTGATGACAACTGTATTGTCTGTTTTCTTGCTCTTCATCACTACTCTGATTAGAATATGTATTTGAATGTAATACTGCTAATTTAATTCATAAATCTTTCTTGGGATCTAAGCAGTGTTTGCATGACTAATAGGGGCGTGGCCAACCATAGGATGCCCCGCTTTGATACAGTCCTATTGTGAGGATAAAACCCACTATTGTTCGAGCCATATAAGAGGGAATCCTACATAACCCTGGATTGGCCCGAACAACA